ACACACCATATAAGCTTTATACAGCTCTAGATATTAGACACAGCATAGGTTTCTGACACAGAATGAATGTGGTCTAAGATCTTAAAAAGTTGAAATTGGACATTTAACTATTATATGGTCCAATATCCAAAATCTAAATATATGGTAAGATTCAGCATATAAAAGAACCTTAAGAATTCAATTTTTGTTGAAATCAACCAAAGTTTACTTTGGACCCTTTGGACCTTAACGATGGCCAATTTGAATACGAGGCCCAAAATAAAAAATCTAGATACACGGTTAGATTCGGCGTATCAAAGAACCACAATAATTCTATATTTGATAAAATCAAACAAAAAAAAAAGTTTTATTTGGACCCTTTGGAACTTATTGTGGACCAATTTGAAAACGGGGCGCAAAATAAACCATCTAAAAACACGATTAGATTCGGCATATCAAAAAACCTAAATAATTCAATTGGTAATGCAATTAAACAAAGATACATTTTTGACCCATTGGACCTCAATTTCGGACAATCAAAAATCTAATTACACGGTGAGATTCAAATTCAAATTCTTTATTACCTTGAACTTTACAGTTAATCATGGTCAATTTAAAATTTCAAAGTAAACATGTAAACAGACAGAGAATGTTCATGTTATAATATTGTCTCTGATTTTAAATGCAGTAAAAAATGTTTTTTCCTAAATTGGTTAACTGTTTGATGTTCTTTATACATAAAAGTTCAATAAATGTAAACACACTTGGCCTAGACCAGTAATATTTATTGATTAATTTTACTCTAAGTTCCTTTTATTTCTGACACAATAAGATGAAATGGAATTCGTCTTCAACACACTGACGGTAAATTGTACATGTACGACATGACAACTCAATGTTTCAACTGCTAACAGATGAGAAGAAAGTTTTATTTTAGAAAGTGCTTTCCGGTACACAGTTGGAATATACTTTGTAATAATAAGATATTAAATCAAAGGTGTTTATAATGTATTTATAGATACGACACTTACTACTGCTTTAAATTAACGAATTCATCTCCTCTTTTTAGTATCTAAAAGTCGTTGTTTAATAAGAGCAAAATCAATCTCAAATACGAGCTCTGACTATTTAAGTTCAATGTTGTTAAGTTCGTCTCTAATCACTTTTGCCCAATTTGCAGATTTTGAACGTTTTCCATCAATATCGATACACATTTCTTTATATACGGAGCTTAAAATACAGTTATTTGTTGACATGATTTTGAACCAATATTTAAAAATTTGAATTTTTTTTTGTTAACAATCATTGGAAGTCTTCCTAGTTCCATGTATATCATAGTAGAATTTGTAGACTCAGAATATTAAAGATCCACAAGAATTCAAGACTTTGAATTAAATCCCATTGAAATTGGTCAAGAAATAAACAATGTATACAGTATTCGAAAATAATTGTTTTTGGCCCCTTATTCCTTAACGGTTAAGACCACAACCCGTAACATTAATCCCAAACTTCCTTTTTGGTATAAAATCGGGTGGTACAATTTCATAGAGGTCCATACATTTATACACAAGTGATTGTCCTGAAAAAATAAAAATGCTTGTTGTTTGCCCCTGTTTGTCCCCTAATTCCTTAACAGTTAAGACAATTACCCCAAAAATCAATCCCAAACTTCCTTTTGTAGAATGGAACCTTTTCGTTCAATTTGATAGAGATTTATACACTTATACTCAAGTTATTGTATGGAAACCAAATGTCTTCGGACGACGACGACACCGTCATACCATTATATGGCCGCAATTTTATAAATACAAAAAATTGAATACACCTATCCATTCCAAAAAAAATGTCAATGCCCCCTTAATTTCCTCCTATCCCCTCTTCTAAGGGTTACAAATGACCGGTTCCTTACAGGAGTCATTACTTTTTAAATGTCCGATTTTCGCCCATTTTTGTGTCCGTTTTTACTAATATCTTGAGAAAAATAATATATAAAGTGAAACTTGAACAGCTTAAATGATCAGCAAGGCAAAATTTACAAAAAATTAACATACTTGAAATTTATGTATCAACTTTTTTAAGAAGAAACCGCTTCTAAATAGAAAAGACATTTTTTTCCCTTCTGAAACAAATAATGTATTTTTCAAAAAATTTGGAATCAAACAAATGAAAAAACATGCCCCCTCCCCCCAAAAAAAATGGCCGGTACCTTAGCCCTGTTTATAATTCTTGAATCTGGAGGTGTATATATGAGCGGATTTCTACGAAACCTTTTATGTTGCGGCGATCTAGTTGAATCTGTAGACAAAATGCACGAAAACGTAATTAAAAGCTGTGCGCAAATGTAATGCACCGAGTTGAAGTTCATCCCATATCTCATTTCATCCATAACCGGGTCGAGTCAAACTAATGTATCACTAGCCTGTCAACACTTAGGGTGTAACTTCGAATCCCGCACAAAGAGGCAGGTACAATGTAAGCTCGGCTCCAATCTTAATTGACTAGAATTTTCAGTTTTCATACCGAGTCTGGAGCTATTAGAACATAAACAGTAAACTGGCATTTAAAAAAAAACGCAGAATATAATATGGTAGATCAAATATTTGAATTCCAGGTGCTGAATAAAAAGTCGAGGACCCATAATTTAATAACTTTAACCATATGTTAATTATTGTAGACCCATCGATTAAGCCCAAACTTTGCAATTCATATTTTGACAAATTTCCAACAATTATATAAGATTTGATTTTTTCATCTTTAAAACGAGTTATTAAGGTGCCAATGTTTATCTCTTTTAAAATCTAAATCATTTTCCTAACGAAAGCTACGGATATGAGCCAGCTTTATAATAATTCCAGAGTAGCAGATCGGAATCAGTTGTGACGTAGACAATAATCGTTCTAATCGTAATCATGTCCATTGACCATAACAACGATGAAAGCACATCATATAAGAACGTTTTGACATCATATAATGAAGTAAACCGAACCACCTCATTTTATGTTACAAGCACATAATATAATGACACAACCACATCATATAATGATGTTTGCACATAACATAAGATAAAATGTACATCATATAAAAGTAAAACAACAAAAATACTGAACTCCGAGGAAAATTCTAAACGAAAGTCCCTAAGGCAATTGGCAAAATCAAAGTTCAAACACATCAAACGAATGGACAACAACTGTCATATTCTTGACTTGGTACGGGCATTTTCTTATGTAGAAAATGGTGGATTAAACCTGGTTTTATAGCTAGCTAAACCTCTCACTTGTTTGACAGTCGCATAAAATTCCATCATATTGACAACGATGTTTGAACAAAACAAACAGACATAATAGGTAAAAATATCAAAAATAAGGGTACAGCAGTCAACATTGTGTTATAATCTAAATCACTACAAAAACAAGCAAATATGTCAACAGAGACAAACAAAAAGGCATATAGACAAAGCACATTAGCAAAAACGAAAGACAAGAATACAAAAGTTTACCATAGCACAACAACACAATGACGGGATGTACAAGTACCGAGCCACGTCAAATGAATCACTCCAAAAACAAGCAAATATGTCAACAAAGACAAACAAAAAGGCATATGGATAACGCACATTAGCAAAAACGAAAGACAAGAATACAAAAATTTACCATAGCACTACAACACAAAGACGGGATGTACAATTACCGAGCTACATCAAGTGGATACTGCCAAAAACAGGCTAAACAGTAAAAGTAATAAATTACAAAGACAAATAAAAGGATACTATAACACGTTATTACGATGATAAACAACGTCAGTACCTAGAATCTATACGTCAAGGCCATCGTGTATTATTTTTGAAGTTGATACGGAATATTTATCAACAAGGTCTTGGTATCTTCCGATAAAATTTTTTAGAAAAAGAACGAGACGTTCTTTGACATACCTTTGGTTCATCAACTTTCTGCTTAGACACTGGTGACGTTTTACAAGGTCTGAGTAGCAGCTGCAAGCTCTTTAATACCGAATGAGTTGGGAAATGTATATTCCATGTGCAAGTAAAGTTGGTATATTGCTACTAAGGAATGAGAAATTGATAATTTCAAAATTAAAATCGTCTCGTTTGTCATAGATTATAGTACTGAGATGACCGCTTATGTCAAATTCGAGGTATAAGTCTAGAAATGAGGCAGAGGAAGCAGTGTATGTTGGTTTTTTAAATTCTAGTTCTGGTGGATATATTAATGGAACCCAATCATAAAAGTTTGGATTGTAAATGGAAAGAACATCATCAATATATCTGAATGTAAAATTAAATGATCTGGCTTCTTTGATCTTCTTATTTTTGACAAGTGTCTGAAGAAACTCCGACTCCATATGAAAATAAGAAGAGGTCGGCAAGTAGGGGCGCACAGTTCGCTCCCATAGGAATGCCGACAAATTGCTGAAATAGTCTACCTCCAAATTCAACAAATATGTTGTCAAAAAGAAACTGCAACATACTGATCACTTGCTCCTCTGTGTAGAATGTTATACCTTTTTGTTCACTATTTACAAATAAGGATATTTGCACATCATATAAGGATTTTTGCACATCATATAAAGGTGTCTGCACATCATATAAAGACAAGTGCACATCATATATAGGTAAATGTACATCATATAATGAAAATTGGCATACTAGGACAGTTTTGACGTTCCATAATAAATGTGCTCACGCAAGACTTATAATTGCATGAATATATTAAAGTCTCTGAAATGCTGAATGCAGAGACAGCATTATTATACCGATGTTACAGTCACGAAAATAAGTGTGCAGAAAACTAACTATGTAAAACAACACTGATTGATACAAACAAACAAAAAACAAAAACAAAAAAGATGTTTTTTTCTATCAAAATAAAATGCAGTAAAGAAATAAGTAATCGGTTTATTAGTAATATGTTACATTGTAAGTATATCTTTAACCATACTGGTTGTAAATGGTCTTTTTCAAATGGATTATCTATGTAGTTAATAGGTGTTCAAATATATTTTACCTCATGATCTTCATTTATTTGTATGAATTCTTTTTCATCGCGAACAGCATTTTGGCCTATCATAGTTTTGTTTTCCCCATAATCCAGTTTCTCTTCGTCATCGCTATCCAAATCAACCCATGGGTTTTGCTTACAAGTAAAAAGGACAACATAAAGTAACAATCATAAAAACCAATTTTAATTGTCAAATGTGTAAACAATATAATAATTGTCACAGTTTGAGGTAATCTGATATACGTTTTCATTTATTTACGTTTGTGAATTTTATACGACCTCAAACATTGTCAAAGACTAATGAATCCTCAATTTGAAAAGAGTGACAACCTTGGGGTTATCACTTACACATATAGCATGGATATGCAATGAAATTCTTCTTCTTGTACAAAATAATCGAATGTTAACGGAATTTGTCAGTGTTTCTCACTGGGAAAGCTGTATCAAACTGATAATTTGTAACTTGCGAGTAGAAAGTACATTTTTCCTTCAATGATTATAGCTGCACGTTGAATTTCAAACTTTTCTTCATTCATAAACTTCCCGACTTTTACATTTTACATTATTTTTACAGAAATAAAATTGAAGTCAGCTGACTAATAGGGTAACCTTTATGAGTTTCCACAATTCTATTGCTTCACCAAAGCCTTTAAATAAAACATACTTGTAATTTCTGGTGTCTTATATATCAACCTAATGTAAATAAGATAGAATTACGATATGTCGTATCATCATTTCATGTAGAGTTTCTGCCCTTTTCATGTTGGTTATATTATGCTCTGAAATTCTTTTTTTTTATTCTGGATTCAACTTCATATTATCAAATGATTAAATAAATAAGTGTTCTTTCTCTACAAAAATGATCAATGAGAACAGCACATGCTATATCAGGTACTGTAAAATGTTCTACAGACATAACGTTACAGAATACAAATTAAAATAAAAAAGTTAATCATCCAAATCTAATGGTCTTAAACAGAAAACGTTTTGCATTAAAATTCTGAAACCTTACTTTAAATTCATAACTTATGAACAAAACATTTATGATCAAAATATTCCAATCAAGTCATTAGAAAATTGAAAACATGCAATTGACTTCTTGGCGGCGAGAACACGCAGGGATTGTCAGTACAACAAAAGTGGCCCTGCATGAACGTACAATACGTTTTTGTTTTGTATAAGGAATGTTACAGGACCATGGCTGACCTCGACTTGTATTGATTATACACCTTTAAAGGAATTCATATGCCAATAAACATCACAGAAGTATGGGATATTTGTCGAACAACTACCAGTCTTATTTACGGCTCTAAATTATCTTCTCTCAAATTAAACACTGACCAAATACAAAGACTTATTAAAAAAGAAACATTAGACCATAAGAAATATTATCCACAAGCACATAAGTGTTGCATTTTCAACATTAAACTACCCTGGTACTTCTTTTTTTTATTTTCTATGGATATTTTGAAGATTTCAACTGCTTAAATTAGATTGAGATTGTGTATTCTATTTAAAAAAGGTTCTACAAATACTTGTCAGTTACCAGCGTAAATTGTGACCTAATGAAATCTGCTGTTTCAAATCGATGTACTCTTTTGTGAGACATTTTTACCATTATTTCGTTTTAAAACCAAAATATGTGCAACGGAAACTAGTGTTCTCCTTTCTATAAATACAATGATAAAAATGATACCTGTACAATTCCTTTTGTGTGTACTGGAGTCTTTTCCTGTTGATACTCATCCCTACAATATTAAATGTTTTACTTCAAACACATTTATGTTGCATAATCAATATTTTTAAAGATTGTTTTAAAATATAAAAAAACATGAATAAATATATTTTGGATATGTCAGATTATAGGAATTCGTTAGCATCAAAATGGGTCTTAAATCTATTTACTATATATTTATATATATATATCATATATATCATATCATTTATTGTTTTCAATTTAGACTTGTTTATATATATATATATATATATATATATATATATATATATATTTTCCCAAACAGCCAATGCATAACATCAATACAGATATACAACAACCATATGAAAAAAAAATGAAAAACAAAATTTGTATACACTCATATTATCTAAACCGTTGAGCTAAACTACATGACCAGGATATAAATTTTACAACAACTGCCAGATATGCTACTTGTAGAAAGTAAATAACAATATGATGTTAAATGACTTTTTCAAGTAAATTCTTGTTATGCGCAAAAACATATTACGAATAGAACTCGAGATAGCTGGAAAACAGTTGATACTGACATTTTTCAAATTTATATACAGACCTTATTAAATTCAAACTGACCACACGCATGATACACGTATAGACGATTCACGTACCGAGAATGAATGGTGAATGGACGATAAATGCACTGTGAATGATGCACTCACGATGAGTGTTGAGCGGAGGATTAACGCATACTAAGTGATAAGCATTACACGGACGGTGAATGTACGATTAGTGACGAGCGTTACGAGGACGATGAACGCAAGGTACATACACAGTTTTATAAATGAGTATACAAAAACTAGACTGAATAATAATTCGGCCATTGGACTCAGTGAATGTCAGCTTTTCAATAGTCAATAAAACCACATATTTACCTCATCAAAAGGCAGTATTAGTATATTTTATTCAATATTGAAGAAAAGTGATATTTACTGCGCTAAACGTCACATGATTTAAATGTATAATTATGTTAAAATGTTTGATGCACAACTGTTTTTGGTAAATAGTTGTCATTAAATACATTTGTTTCTCTCGTGGAATATTCATAAAATATAACAATTAATATCTTTCAGTGAGGTAAATATGTGGGTAAATTGTTTTTTGTAAAACTGATATTCACTTCGGCCGTTGGCATACACACAAAATGTGTTTAAATTTGTATTTCAAACGCTGCGGTTTGAACATTCCTGATAATCAGTGCTGCATTTGATTTTCTATTGAGGAAAATGAAAAACCATTCAGAATAAATAATTTGCATAGGGGCCCAGAGTTTTTCAAATGCAAAAATTCTGTTGTATTTTTTTGACATATGTAATTCTATGTGATAAGAGTTTTTCTGTATATTTTTCAATTCAAGTGCTTTAGGAAGCCTTTCTCTTAGTTTGCATTTGAATACGTATTTTTTGGCGAAAATTCCTTGGAAATTCAAAAAAGGCTTTCTTCTACAAAACCTAGAAAAAAGTTTTTTTAGTACAATTCAATGTGTACCAAGAAATATTTCAGACCAGCACAGAACAAATCTAAAAAACTTAATGTCACTTGACAATCATACAATAAATGACCAATAGTTTCATCTTCTCATCTACAAAAGAACATAGCTTTGTGTCTTTGATTTCAATCTTAAATAAAACTGTATTTGTAGGAAAAATCCTATGTAAAAACTTATATTGAAAATTATACAAATATATATCTGTGCAACCTTTCTGAAGTATATAATAATATTTTGGACAGTCTTCAATATAAGAATGCAGCTCATCCTTTCATTTTGAAAATGTTACAACAGGAGGATGTGCATGTTTTACAATAAGATTATTTTTTATCAATTTGATACTTTTGCTGCAAGTAATTTGATCCAAATAAATAGCATGTGGAGTAAAATTGTTTTCAATGTTTTCCCTTATACAATGTTTTACCTTCATAGGGACAGTTGATATCAAGCTGTAATAACGTATACAGTTATTTGTCTGAATTTTTTGTTTTTTCTTTAATCTGATCAAATGTGAGAAATCAACAATGTGACAGAAGTTTTACATACCAGGAACTCCCCATCTATTATATGATTTGAAATCTTCTGTTTGTACACAATTCAAGATATCAAGTGAGAGTCAATCCTTCGACTCAGTTTTAACAAATAGATTAGATAAGTGTAAAGCTTTAAAGACATCCTTCCAAAAATGATTGGTGAGCTTATTACTAATCTCAAATAGTTTGAAATGTTCTAAAGAAAAAGATCTTGCACCTCCAAATGTATTTAATATCAGGTTTAGAATACTTTGCCAGACCCAACTCAAATTTGCAAAAAATCTCCTCACCAAACCAATTTTAAGATAAAAGTTGAAGGATTGTAAATGATCCAATCAGTGTATAGCGTTTTTTTTTTCTGTGTTTCCATCCCATATAAAGTTAAAGAATAATATGTTGATTCCAATCAACATGGATTGGCATATATTAGGTAAAGAGGTAAGCAAGTGAATTAATTTTCGAAGTGCAAGAGTCCTAATCATCGTAGCCTTGCCAAGCAGTGATAGCTTCCTATGGTGTCAAGTTTTCAACACTTTTGTAATATCAATGATTTTTTTTTTCTCTGAAATTCAAACTGAGCTAACAATTAAGTTCTAAGGAAAAATTAAATCCTATAACCTAAAAGTTTCAGATTTTTTTTTAAGACACAAAATCAGATCAGAATGTTTTTTACTTCCGATCCACACAACTTTCGTTTTAGTTGTATTTATCTTTTATCCTGAGACCTTATGAAATTTTCAAAACAGGAAGAATCTTAACTTCCATCAAGTGTTAGAAACGTGTCATCTGCATATTTACTAATGAGTGGCTCATTTATATTTACCCCTTTTAGTTTTTGGATTGCCGTTTATTTGTATAGCAAGTAATTCCACAAGTGACAATAATAAACAAATAGGGAGACAATGTGTCCTCTTAATTAGCGACAGTTTCTTTTAAGGTTAAAAATTTTGGACATATTACCATTATTCATGACACAGCCCTAAGCATATGAATAAAGCACTTCAAACCATATACAAAAAGATGGACCAAAATTACAACTGATCAAAGCCTGCTTAAAAAAATTAAATTCTATAGAATCGAAGACTTTCTCAAAATCTACTAGTAATAAAAATCTCTATATATCATTTTTTTCTAGATACTGTTAAAGTACTTTTATTCGTAGGGTACCAATTTTCGTAGTTTTCGTGGATGGCTTTATCCACGAATTTAAGTGTCCAACGAAATATAACAACTGTTGTCCAAATCAAGACATGGAAAGATCCAAAGGTTTGTCTACATTGATACCGGCATATCTAGAGAATACATCGAATATAATATCGAATATGAACTATATATACAACTTTAGACAGGATTTTATCCATTTTATCTTTATAAAACCTAAATTGTACGACTTTTAACCTGTTAATTGTCATGAAAAAATAGTTTTCGATCAAAGAAAGTCAAACTTCTGGTGATGATATCCGATGATGAAGAGTTGAATTTATCTCCTCATAATTCTCATACGGAAAAAAAATCATATAGGGCTTGCTTTTTTTTTTCATTTAGAATTAACTTTACATTTCAAAGTACATCTGTAAGCATAGATAAATCAGCTTATTTACGAAAGCAATTATTTTATCAAAGAATTGATGAAAGTTGTCAGTAATGAAAAACGAACAAGTAAATAAAAATGAACACATTATTTAGCAATATCCCACTTATTATTATAAAACAGCCTATGATTATTTTCAAGATCTATTTAAAAATGTTTTTTTCTTCAGAATACTAAAATCCACGAATTTAAGAACCCACGAACATGTTACTTTTGCTAAACCACGAAAATCGATACCCACGAATTAAAGTGCTTTCACAGAAGTGCATTAGATAATATAGAAGTCTAGTGTTCTCTCCTCTCTCTTATAAATCTCCCTTTCATAAAGCCCTTTTGTTTGTCACTAATAATAGCAAACAGTACATTTTTAAATCTACAAGCAAGAACTGCAGATGCTATTTTCATATCTTTGTTCATTAACGTACTTAAAGCTGATTGCTCGCCAGTTATCCATTTATCTCCTATCCTTCCCTTCCTTGGGACTACCTGTAATAATACTTTGGTACTGAAAATCTGAAAAATGGCCTAACTCATATCCATATTGCAGAGAACTAAAAACAAATAGACCAATATCTTTCGAGAAATATTTGAAAAAATCCACTGTAAATCCGTCCAATCGAGGACACTTTCCATTTTGCATATGTTTTAGAACCTCCCGACAATCCCTAAAAGAAAAGTTTCGCTCATTAAGGTAGTTCAGGGGTATAGAAAAAAAATGACAGAATTTTCTTATACTTTGTGAACTTAAACTTTGAAGCATGGTAATTGAAAAAAATGCCAAAAAAATTGGGGGTCACCGGCCTTCCAAGATATTTTTTGACCTCTGAAAATGAGTGGAAATAGGCTAATTTCTCAATGGATATATAGAGAAAATGGACATAAAACCTCTTTGATTGAATTTTCACAGCAAAACAAAATGACAGAAGTTGCTCATTATTTCATACTGAAAAGCTTGATGTCTCTATTTTATGATATTGGAATAAAATTTGAGGGTCACCGGCCATCCAAGAGTTTTTTACCTCTGTAAATGAGTGCAAATAGGCTAAATATAGGGAAAATGGACATAAAACCTCTTTGATTGTATTTTCACAGCAAAAAGAAATAACAGAAGTTGCTCATTTTTTCATACTGAAAAGCTTAATGTCTCTATTTTTTTTTCAATTGGAATACAATTTGGGGGTCACCGGCCATCCAAGAGATTTTTTGACCTCTGAAAATGAATGCAAATAGGCTAAATATAGGGAAAATGGACATAAAACCTCTTTGATTGAATTTTCACAGCAAAAACAAATGACAGAAGTTGCTCATTTTCTCATACTGAAAAACTTGATGTCTCTATTTTATGAGATTGGAATAAAATTTGGGGGTCACCGGCCATCCAAGAG